GGTGTGCCACAGGTTACTTTCGTGTCCTGAAGATCTGCAGCACATCTGCACATATGCAGAACCCATCAGTACAACTGTATACTTGGATGTGTGACGCGAACGTCTTGTGAGACAATAGGGGTGGAGGGGCACTGTGTTGTTTTTTTCTGGAAGAGAAAGAAGAAAGTGCTGCACTTCTTGCAAGGTCAGAAAACTTGAAGAAAATAAGGAATTTTTAACCAATTGTGGGAGAGTTAGGGAAAAGCTTGTTTTATTGGGTTAAGGTCCACTTTAAGCATACAACATTGTTAAAATGGTTGTGAAGGCTCAAGTTTTTTTTACCTTCATGCATTCTAAGCATTGGTTTAAAAAAACCTTCTCTGTGCAGCATCCCCCCAGCCTCCCCCAATATTTACCTAAGCCCCCTCTCAATCCAGCAATGTGCACTGGAGTCTCAGCTATCCCGGGACTCCCTCTCCTCATTGGCTGAGACAGAAGTGCTGTCAATCACAGCCAGTGAGCCAATGAAAAGAGAGAGGGGGCAGGGTCGAGCCCATGACTCTGTGTGTGAATGGACACATGGAGCAACGGGTGCCCGCATAGCAAGCTGCGGGGGACCCGAGGAGGATCCAGGCTGCTCTGCGCAAAATCACTGCACACAGCAGGTAAGTATAGACATGTTTATTATTTTTTTTTGTTTTTTGAAGTAAGCCTTTAGAACCACTTTAATGACATTGGTTGTATGTTTGTGGTCATTGTGCTGCTGCAGAATACATTTTGGAACAGTCACACACCTCCCTGATGGTATCACATGCTGGATAGGTATCTGCCTGTATTTCTCTGCATTGAGGACGCCACTGATTGGACAATGTTGAGGACCATAAACACAGTGGATGGCCAGGAAAACGTAATGCAGCAAATGAAAGACACATCATGCTTATTTCCCATCAACATCGGAAGATGTCCAGCAGTGCCATCAGCACAGAACTGGTGGAAACCAATGGGACCCAGGTATACCCATCTACTGTCCAGAGAAGTCTAGCCAGAAGTGGTCTTCATCATAGAAGTATTACAGCCAAAAAGGCCATATCTCTAACATGGAAACAAGGCTAAGCTAATCAACTATGCACAAAAACGTAGGAACTGGGGTGCAGAAAAATGGCAGCAAGTGCTCTGGACTGATGCGTCAAAATTTAAATTATTTAGCTGTAGCAGGAGGTAGTTTGTATGTGAAGGGCTGGAGAGCGGTACAATAGTGAGTGTCTGCAGGCAAGAGTGAAGCATGCTGGAGGTTCCTTGCAAGTTTGGGGCTATATTTCTGCAAATGGAGTTGGAGAATTGCTCAGGATCAATGGTGTCCTCAATGCTGAGAAATACAGGCAGATAGGTATCCATCTTGCCATACCATCAGTGACGTGTGTGATTGGCCCCAAATTTATTCTGCAATAGGACAATGGCCCCCAAAATACAGTCAATGTCATTAAGAACCTTCTTCAGTGTAAAGTAGAACAAGGAGTCCTAGAAGGGATGGTTTGTCCCCCACAGAGTCCTGATGGAGACTGTCTGGGATTACATGAAGAGACAGCAGGGTTTGAGGCAACCCATATCCACAGAATATCTGTGGTTAGTTCTCCAAGATATTTGGAACAACCTAACTGCTGAAGGCCAACAAAAGCTGCGTGCACGGGTACCTAGAAGATTTAATGCTGTTTTGAAGGCAAAGGGTAGTCACACCAAATATTTATTTGGTTTGATTTTGATTTATCTTCTGCTCATTTACTTTTTTTTTACTCATTTTGTTAATTGCTAAAAATAAACTATTAAAACATTTATTTCTGAAACCTTTTGTAACCATTTGACCTCTGGAAGTTTTTACCCCCTTCATGACCAGGCCGGGTTTTTTTTTTGCTATTCAGCACTGTGCTACTTTAAATGGCAATTGCACAGTCATTCAACACTGTACACAAATTAAATTTAAATAATTTTTTTTCACACAAATAGAGATTTGTTTTTGGTGGTATTTGAGTACCACTGGGTTTTGTTATTTTTTGCTATAAAAACAAGACTGAAAATTATATTTTTTACTTTCTGTTATAAAACATCCTATAAAATCAAATTTCTTCACAGATTTATGCCAAAATGTATTCTGCTACATGTACTTGGTAAAAAGAAAAATCCCAGTAAGTGTATATTAGTTAGTTTGTGTCAAAGGCATAGCATCTACAAACTATGATACTGTATATATATATTTGAATGGTGGCCAACCTCAATTCTTGAGGCCTTAAAATGCCAGGACAGTACAAATTCCCCTCAAATGACCCATTTTTGGAAAGCAGACGGTCTGAGGCATGGCAAGTTTTTTGAAGGTGTAATTTTTTGGAAAATTAATAAATTAAATTTGGGTTTTTTTTCACATTTATTTTACATACTATCACAATTGTAGTGCAGCATCATCAAATGACTGGGGTGGCGGTGATCAGGGATATTGACTGGTGGAAGTCATTTTATATTGTAAACAATTTTTAAAAATGTTTTTTTTTTTCACATTTTCTTTTTTACTTACTATTTTTTTACATCCTGTAATCAGAGTAGTTCAGTGTCACCATAGTGACACTATACTGCTCTGGGGGGGTGATCAGGGATATTTTGTTTTTACACTGTTATTGCTTAGAAGCAATAGTTTTAGCTGTCATGAGTGGGTTAACATTCATGACAGCTTAGTTACTTTTGATACGCTGTGATTGGCTACAGCTAACCACTTGATACAGGTAGCCATGAGCTAATCACAACTTCACAACACTAAGCAAGCAGTCATGAATGGAAAGCACATTGTAATCAAGTGATTGCTATGACCAATCATAGTGATCATATGATACTCCAGCCTCTCATAATGACTGGTACTGATAACAATAATCCACTGTGTCCGGTGGACACATCGATCACAAGAGGTGTGCTGCACGCCCATGTGCCAAGCGACATACATGTACGAGATTATGTCTGGCTGTGCAGCCTGCCTACAGTATAATTACTACAGGTGGGACAGCAAGTGGTTAATTTACAGCATTTTTTCCCATCTGCCTAAAACGTTTCCACAGTACTGTACATCAGAAGTACCCTTCATATCAGAGTCCCAGAGCCCCTTCACATCAGTGTCCTCAGAGGGCTGTCAATGCACCTCAATGCAGGTATTAAACCAATGCACTTAGCCAGCACACCACAAAACACCTGTATTTTACATGCTTTGTTGTGCTCAAAAAGGTGTGTGCACTCTGGTATAATGTTAGAATGCACATTTTAGTGCGGGTTACTACAACAAACAGATTGGAATAGATCCTTGTTGTAGTGTTCAGATGTGGTAACTGGCACAGAGAAAGGCCTGTTTACTGGGTGATCTGTATTTATCGACATTTTACATAATAAAACTTATAGCATAAAAAAGTACCCTAATATGCCATCAACCTAAAGCTGAACTCTAGGTGAATATAAAAGTCCCAAATTAGTGAGGCTCTGTAATCATTGCAAGCAGTGTAAGTACCTGAATTGGCTTGGTAGCCACATCTTGTAGTCCCTATAAAGCAGGGCTAGAGTGTGAGAGAAACAAAGAGAACAAGGATCCAATCAGTTTATATGCTAATAAGAAGCATGCTGATAGGAAGAGAAAGCAGAGTGACACAGAGATGAGCTTATCACTGTGTTGCTCCTCCTTTCATCATCCAGTCATATGCAGGGGTGGGTCAATGACAGCCTGGGCTCAGAGGAACTACAGAGGGCAGCCCAAAAAATGAAGGTGAAAATTACAGCAAAAACTGTTTTTTCTTTTTTTGTTTACTTCTAATAGTCTAATTATGTTTTATCTTATTAGTTTTGGCTAGAGCTCTGCTTTAAAGCCTTTCTGTCTCTTAAAAGAGGTATAATACATTAGAATAATTTTCAAGTTTAAAGTTTCTCCAAATGCAAATTATTACATGGTGCGAAACCAACACATTTCTCCAGGGGAAAAAAAAAATTTCTGGACCTATAGGGGAAAAGGCCCTAGGAATTAAGTGCTCGCTGGACATAGGCTGTACTACAGCTTTCTTTTTATTTATCCTAGACCTACAAGAGCTATGTGAAGGATCCATATTCCTCTTAACACAGCCAAGGCAAAAACCTCCCAACAGATGTTGCTGGGGTACCTTTCTTCCATATGTCTGCTTCATCTGCCACATGGGGGCACCACAGAAAGATGATTAAATCAGATTGTCATATACAAACCAAAATGTGATTTATGATGATTACTGCACCTGCACCAAACTCTGACTTGGCACAACAAAGGGGGAGTGCCAGCAGTCCTTTATGGCTGTGTTCAGTTGGTCTGAGGATAAGAGATGGTATGACAGAATGAAATAGTACTATATCTTTTAATAACATAGCAATTATTTTCATAGTGAAATTTCCCTGATGATTTGGAGGGTGGGGGTTAATCCTCAAATTGGGTCCTGGCGACTTAAGCAGAGATGAAAAACAAAGAACTCCATCTGTGCAAGAGAAGGTAGAGAGTGAAAATGGTCACCCAAAGATATTTATTTTTTTTAAGATTGCTGGCAAGCCATTTGGCCAATCTGCTGTGTCCATTTTAAGTTAATTGAGAGTGCCACATTCTATCCGTTGGATCTCTGTTGAGCTCCCCCAAATGCCATACTCACATAATTATAATTGGCTAAATGGCTGGGCACATATGTCCATGTTTGAAATTTCACTATTTAGAAATAATTGGGGAATACAACTAAGAAAGGGTGTTTATTATGGAGTTTCAGGAGCAGGAAGAGACACTAACATCTATAGGAAAACCTTGTGCCTACCCAAAAGTGAGAAAGTTGTTACATTTGCAAATGGTTGGATGTGTTGTTTATGATCCAGAGTATAGCCTCCAGTATTTTTTTTGTGTTACAGTCCTTGCAGAAATACAAATTGTAGCAGTTAAGTATTGAATGGTAATAAAACAGAAGTTGACATTGTTTGTGTTTGCATTGTACCTGCAGAACCGGACTTGTCTCAACCACCTTGTTATGAAGAAGCACTACTCATGGCTGAACCCCCTCCACCATACAGTGAGGTCCTTACTGATACTCGAGGCATCTACAGAAAAATCCTCAGTCCTTTTCTCTCTGTTCAGGATGAGCTGGTGAAACCAGAGCAACCCCTGAGCCATAAACAACATCTCACAGGACAACAAAATACTCAACCACTTCCTGGCGCCCTAAGCTCCCAGATTCCACCCAATCCCCCTCAAGAAGCACCAAGCCGAAGACGGCCATCTTGGTCAGGCTCTGAAATTGGAAGTGGAGTACTGCCTGGATTGCCAAGGGGCTGCCAACTGATTTTCCCAATTCCCCTTCTGGGCAGGACTACAGCTGTTTAAACCAGCATGGAAGTTGCTGTGGTCCAAAGAACTTGAGGAAGTTGGATGGTCTGTGAACGTAATAAAATGACATATATTTCTGAAAACTACACTTAACATGACAGTTCAGCCATTTGCTTATCTGAACTTGATTAAACAATGTGGGCCATATCTGTGTATCTCTGAAAGATGGGATGAGAAGAGCTGCAAGACTCTTGCGCGGATTATATAAACTTGTACAACTCACCGACAAATGCTGATGTACAGTCAGATTGGATCTGATTCTGAAAACATTCATGCTCTGCTCACCAGAGACACTGACAGACAGGCCCTCTTTATATATTTACATTTATAGTTGCACTTCCTGTTTGTGGGATTAAAATTTGGCAGCCATAGCGTGTATGTGAGCTGCCAGCTAGGTTATGGTGTCCATTTCTGTATGTTGTACATACTGAGAGGATCCTGTTCTCTGTATTAAGATATTTAATACAATTAATCTGAAAGGGCTTCACATAGAACATTCTGGAACACTTTCAAGTTGTGTATGGTGAATGATAAAATGTCTTGTCATATGCCAAGCTAACACTGTGGAAACTGAAGTCATCTGTGCAGTGATACATAACTGAGCGCTTCATTTATTCCGAATCGAGATTTGATATGTCAGCTTTATCTGCATCACACAATTACCTATCACTTCAAGGGGAGATCAACACTAACCACACATTACAAAATGGGTCTAAGTCTAGGCCATAGAAGCAAATTGCAGTTGATTTTTTCAGTTCTACAAAAATAAGGACTTCTAGACAGTATAGACAGATTTTTTTTCCAGCATCTCTGGTCCTCTAAGATGGAGCTGTGTCCAATTTCTAAATGAGTACAGCTTTTACAAGTATAGCATTTGCCATTCACAAACTAATCACAAAAATGGGTTGAGTACCAGAGAGATACAAATAAATGCATCGTCTCAAAAAACCCACAATAAATGCTTAGTGGCTCTTGCTCAGGTTAACAAGGTCCAAGGACTAGTGAGGGTGCAGGTTGGGGAAAGGTTCATCCAGACCCAAAGCACTCTGTAGACCTTGAAAGAGATAGCCTGGCTGCTGCACACCGGCCCGAGTGGTTAGCAGGTAAAAGCAGCCTCAACTCGATTCATCCAAGCCATGACCCAATATGTTTCACCCCACCCCTGGGGCTTACTAGTGGGCAGCAGCCAGGCTATCTCTTCCCACATCTACATCTTCATCTCCTCAACAAAGTCACAGTATGATGTAGGACTAAAGGATTTCATGAGAATATAAAAGCTGGTTTAAAAAAAAAAAACTGTTCTGAGAGAAATACTGGGCTGTTGACTTCCTTATAAAATTCTAGGTGCTTGACCATTATTCTCATTTTCTATCTTCAATACATTCTGTCAATGACCTAGAAAAGGTAGGGAGGATCTTGTTAATAAATGAAAGTTCTAACAATAGAGAATCAGTATGAAAACAAGGCAACTAGCATTTGTAGAGGGTCATTAGCAATGGCAGACCCGATATTTCCATCAGCAAGGATGGTCTTAAAGGGCAAAGTAATAGAAGCATTTCCAAAGCTTTCTTGAAGCCCTGAGATCTAAGACAATCAGGCATGGTTTATTATTTCTTGTAAATGTTAGTCTAAAGAGCATCAGCAATCATTTAGCATGGCCAATAAGCTTTCCAGAAGCTCTTTAAGGCTTATACTTACAGAAAATGTAATTAGCCAAGTGATTGGATCTCTGCAGAGCTCCCCCAAATGCCATATTCACATGATTGTAATTGACTAAGTGGCTGGGCACACATGCCCATGTTTGATTGACACATGCATACATCACCAGGCCATATAAATATATTGAATATTCAATGTATGCCCAAGACAACATAGGTGACAGATGCTCTTCCACTCCCATCTCTCACACAGACCAGCCCTTTAAGCAACTTTTGGCTCAGCCTGGGAGTGTTGAACACAGATAACAAATGCATATTGTGGTTTTAAATAAGCTTTTGGAAGTCTTCAGCAGATTTTTCAGTAAACTTCCTCACTGAAGATATGTGTGCCATACTCCCAGACTGGAACTTTTAAAGCTTGAAGAGTTTCAAAAAAGTTCAGGATTATGTGTAATTATGTGCAGGTTGTTTTCTTTAAAGGTTTGACTTTTTGAATTTTTAAGAGAGTGGCTGTACAGCAACATATTGTACATTGCACTGACACGTGAATTATTCTATATTACATAAGTTCCCATTGGAAGCAAAACATAGAGGCCACCATGAATTTGTCTGAAAAATGCCAGTAGCCTACCTGTCATGTGATCCTTATGCTTGGATGGTTTGTGCCATAGATCCAGACAGAATATGCAGGTAAATCTTGCATCCAGCATTAGCATTTTCAGAAGAAGGTCTGTGATGGCAGCCTCCACATTTCACTCTTATGACAGGTTTACTTTAAGCAAATTACACACACTTCCAAGGATCTTTTGAATATACATATTGTTGGCACAGGCTGCAATAGAAATAAGGCCATTAAAGTATATTTTTTATATAAGTATAAAAAAAAAAGATACTTAATCGGGGTACATTCCACCCTGTACTGTGACGCAGCGCATAAATGCACCTCATAACAATACTGTTCCAATAATAAAATAAATACATTAACTCAGCGGTATGATGCCTATCATGATGTGCAGAGTAGAAAGTTCCCCGAACCATCACGTCATGCATGACGCCACTTACCCCAAGACCGTCTGTGGCTCCCTAAGGTTCCACCAGAGTACCTAGCGGCACGATGTCAGACATGCATTGCCTGGGTTAGACCCCTGTCCCACACACCCTACATGACACCACCACATAAACCATAGCATGCAAAACCTTACCAAATGAACAAAAACAATTCAATAAGCAGCGGTTGTGATGGGTGGTGGGGGGTGGTGGTAGGAAAGAGGGCGGAGGGAGCGGAAGCAGAATTCACAGGCCCAAAGCTATATTGAAAGCACAAAGACATGCAAGAGAGAGTAGGGGAAGGGGAAATCTTCAGACATCCTCTTCCTCCTTGAAGTCCATCAAGTTATAGTCTCTGAGCAGACTGTGGACCAGTCTGCAACAATCCTCAATGGACATCCTATCCCGCTGGTGGATGAGGCACTTCATGGTGCACCATAAAGCGTTCTTGATACAGCACAGCACCTGCCAGGTGCTGTCAATATCCTCCTGAGAAAAAAAGTCCCACAGAAAAGTCCATTCAACACAGCAAAGTGTGTGATGGCACAAGGCCATTAAAGTATAACTAAAGGCAGTTTTCTAGTTCTTGATAGCGTGGAGATGGATTAGAACACCTGTTTGGTTATTATTACTGTCTATGCCCCCCATAAGGGAGAGTCACACTCTCTATTTGTCCTGTTCACCAGTATCATCAAAAGTGAAAGTAAAAGAATACCCAAATTTTGTGCTGTCCCCAGAAAAGTAATAGAGAGGCAATCTTGCAATGGGTACTCTAGTTCTGGTGAGCTGAGGGTCCTTGCAGAGATTTTCTCTCACTTCGTGTTTGGCTATGGGACAGAAAGTGAAGGCAAATCTCCCCAATAGGACACAGATGGTAAACAAATAAAATGACAGAGGTTATAACCCTCCCTTACTCTATCTAAAATGAGGAAAAAAAAGGTTTTCCTATAGTTCTAGTTTTAGCTGATACCTTGGTTGTGGCCAAAAAATTCCAAAAAAGGTCTGCATAACTAGAAGTAGTACAAATGCCTATGGTTTTAGGACCCTGCTACAATGTATTGATGTATGAAACAGTATCCATTAACATTTCTACTTTAGTTACCAATGTACCCCAAAGAATGGAAAAACTCACTTCCCCTTAGGCACAGCATATGTTCAGTGATGTTGATGTGGTTGTGTACATATCTCTGAGAGTTTCCTTCTCTATAGAAGCAATGTGAAAAAACTACAGGTGTAAACAATCAATGACATCCTAGAGGTAAGTGTGATAAAATAATCATGTACTCCATATAATTATGTCATTGCAGCAGTACAATGACAACCACAATTTCTGTCAACCCCCTAGCAGGATTGGAGATCTAATTGTCAGGACTACTAGAGATCTCATTAATACTCCTCAGCTGTCCCAAAAATGTCAGATCCCAAAGGTATTTAGCTTGCAAAATATAGCATGGTCTTGTCATCATAATGACATATTTGGTTGGATCTAGGAGTGGATTGGCTAGGTTGGTGGCAGGACTGAGGTATACCACAAAGTTGAAACCTCTGGCAGAAGAGCACAGCATGAGTTGTTTTTATAGCTTTAGCTGTAAGGATTATCCTCATGTTTTAGTAGCTGTCAACAAGATATAACTATAAGCAAGTTTGTACACCATATGTCTGCAGGTAAAGCCAGAGGCAAGACACTAAGAATTTGCTGAAACACTAACAGCCAAAACATATTTTAGCTAACATTTCAATAGTTATTGAACAATCACAATGATCTGTGACTTTCATAAGTAACCATTAGCATTTATTGTTATAGGCAGGTTTTATAACACCTTAAAGGGCTAGTTAGCTGCTAAGCAAAAGAGGTTGGGAATGCTAAATGTGCATCCACTATTGGGTCACACTGCTTCTAATTCCCCCATGAAAGCAGAACTCTATATAATTTCTAATGCAAATATACGGAATGTACCCACACTTGCAAAACTGTCTGTCTTGTGGCTTTTTAAGAATGTTACCCAACTGCTGTGCAGACCTGGGATTCTCAACCTTTTGGCTTTAGTTCTGCAGGCTGCACAGCCCAGAAGTCATAGGCTTTCCATACCTCCCTTTTAGTATGTCACTCTACTCCCATATTTACATAAAGGACAGAGACCATCATCAAACAGAACAGTGTGGCTTCTCCAGTTCCATTCAATGTTGTATTTTGATTGACATATAAATTTGCAGTTAAAATAATTAACAAGTGGGTGATAGGGAAAAATCAGGAGACAGGGAGGTTTAGGGTAGGGATAAAACTTCCCCAATCACGCACAAAATTTGTGGCAAAGAATAACAATAATTCATACAAAAAAACTTCTGGTGAGGGGATGATGTACAAAAGGCATCTCTTAATCATCCCTGGAATAAGCACTCTCCCCCATTCTAGTCTCCAGCCTGTGTGGTTCACTTTCCCTCCCCTGTTGCAGCAGCGTTGTGCATGCACATTTCAGTGATGCTGTGGGTGCATCAATGTATGGATCACAGGCAGGAGACCACAGATCAAACCAGTAGTAATTTTTTTTGACCAGGCTGTGGGCAAACCACAATGGGCCTAACAGGTATGTTAATGAAATCTAACTACGTATTTTACATACAGCATTTATAAAGCAAAGGGCACCTTTTAATGCATAGCACATTTTACTGCACTTTACCTTTTTACCATTGCCTTTTCTCCTAAACTAGTATAAAAACAGGTATAAGAGAGGTCTGCTACACTATTACTTTGTATCAAAAAATCTATTTAAAAAGGGCACTGCCAGGAAAGCCCAGAGTATATTTCTAGGAATGAAATGTTAAATGTGATTTCTGACTATGTATCAGAAAGTTGGCACTACATGCCAGAGAGGAAATTCTGTTGTATTTCATGCTAAACAATCCATATTAGGTTGCTTTCACACTGATCAGTTTTTGTTCAGTTAAAAAAGCAGAAGAAAAATGCACCCATTTAGATGGAACTCTTCACACCTGAACAAAAGTGCATCAAAAACTGATCAGTGTTAAAGGGCCATTTAAACATGCACCAAAAATGCAGCAAGCAGGACTTTTAAAAATGCAACTGACTGGTGTGGAGAGTTCCATAGGGTTTAAAGGGATGCATTTTTCTCCTTTTTTAACTGAAAAACTGATCAGTGTGAAAGGGCCCTTAGTCAACGGGAAGGCATGAAAAACTGATCAGTGTGAAAGCAGCCTTTTGCTTATGTATATGTATCTACACAGGGCTTCATTTAGATATCATGCTGCCATAGGCACACATGCTTGACACCCCTTTTGTACAAGCTCAGCTCCTTGTGTCATGTTATTATTGCAGTAACTAATAATAGGGTACACTATTGAAGGCAGCATGCTGTCTGTTTTAAATCAAGAACTACATTTTATCTTCCAAGATAAGAGAAAGGAGCAGTGATTTTGCATTTCTTGAACCATGGCTCCCAACTTTCCTTGATTTGGATGAACTGTTTCCCTTCTGGAACTAAATCCATCTGTCTCCCTTTCATCCTCATTTGTTCCTCTTTTGGATATGATGTATAGACCTTTATAAAGAAATGTACTATCTTGTCACCAGAAGTGTTATACTGCAGTAAACAATACATCCAATCACTAAATTATTGAATTCATTAGTTCAAAAAAGCCAATATAAAGAAAAGGTAGTGGTGAAAAAAAAAAACACTTGGGTTAAACCAGTCGTTTTTTGCCAATTCTTCATGGTCCAAATAAATGGTGCATCTCAAAAATGTGTCTTTTGCCTACACACGTTACACTAAAAGGATCCCTTTTCTCATTTTAGAAAGTTTGGAGGTATATTTTAACCATGGTAAGTTTTTTGACTCTACATAAAATCCCCTACAAACCTGGCTGTTCTCTTGCTGAATACAGCTACAAATGTCCAAAGGGAGCCAGATGGTGGAAATAAAATAAATAAAAAGTTATCAGAATGTGTATATTTTGTGGCTTGATGCCCTAGGCACTGGTCCTTGGGTTCCATTTGGGTTCCATTATGGTACATACAGCTCTCTCTTCAGGAGCCTTGAGAGCAGCTAATCACCTCCCATTAAACAATAAAAAGTTCTTTTGAATCAATTTCTATTGTTCACTGCATTTCTCAGACAAGATTGTAGTTGGAGGAAAAGGGTCAAGGAGAGAATTTCTGTATAATACTTTAGCACTATGTATTGCTAAAAGAAAATGAAATGTTTACCCTAAAGCCGGCCATAGATCTCAGCCGGTTCAGCAGGGACTGGCCAAGATTCAAACCATGTGTGGGAAGGCTGAATGTACTGAAGCTGACCTATCGATCAACCTGAGTACAACCAGCCTCTCAAATTTTACATGTGATTACTGCTAGTGGCTATTATAGCTGCTATCCATAATCACGGCTCCACGAGATAGATTGCCCCATCAACACTGATTGTGTTGATGTGGGAATGGAGTGATTTTCTTTCCTGCAACCCGGCTGTCTTAAAGTGTTACTAAAATCATGACCTTGCATTCACTATATCTGGTCTCACACAGTACACAGAACATGGAAATGCAATTATTTTAGTAAATATAAACTGCTAAATACCTTTTCTCATCAGCAGTTAGAGCAGTCTTGTGACTTCAATCAGTGTCCAGCAGAACACTGGTTAAAGCTTGTAGGAGTTTTCTTTTTGCTCCAGGAGGATGCAAAACTCCTGACCTCTGTCTGGACAGTGCTGATTAGCCCTGTGCTGATCACATGCACTCTCCCAAGAAAAAAAAACTCTCTAGCAATAATACAAACCAAACTGAGCATGTGCAGCTTGTTCCCAATGCTCTGTTCTGTCAGCAGATGGATTGGGGAAAGTAGAAGAAGGGGAGGTTTAGAGAAGACAGGATCAAACAGCCTTTTTACACAATGTGGAGGATTAACCCCTTAGGTTCCACAGTGAGTGTAACAAGTATGCTTTACTGTATGTACAAACTGACTTTACTGTTGTGGGTTTAGTAACACTTTAAGAAGCCTGCAAAGAAAAATTTAGGGAGGTGCTGATACTGGTAATAATCTGTTACATTAATTTGTTTTCTCAACTGGTTAGTACTAATTACATCATTACAATAGATCACCCAGAACAACTCTTTTATGTTTTATCCACCAATCTTCACCAAACTTATATAGTGAGGATGACTCTATTGGCCAGTCAGTAGCCAGTCAGATACTGAGCAGGTTGAATCCACGTTTTTGCAGCTGACATCATAAAACAACTTCTATTATTACCAACAAAATGCAGAAATTCCATTCAGGCTCCTCATCATCCACTTCCCTAGATACATTCATGTACCTGTATGGCTGACAATGATAGAACTGTGTAAAGGTTGGGTCAAGCTGCTGAATATCAAAATGCATTGAAACTTACACATATTACAGTCTGATTGCTCATATACTGGTTATAGCAATTGTAAATATGAATTTTATTTTTAAGCTATAAAAGGCCTCTGTCAACAGGAAATATACAGTTAAGGCTGAATCATCTTTTCTGTGCATTCCTACTCCTGCTGATTCTCAGCTAGAAGACTTTAATATAAAACCCACACTACTGGTAAGTGACTCATTAAAAATAAAAATAAAGCTCTGCTATGTCTGTTTATCTTTAGAGAAGAGAACACTTTTGAAAGGTCTCTGTGAGCAATTAGTAAGTGGCATAATGTGGAAGATAGCAACAGAAAACAAAATGTCCTTGCAAGAATGTATTTGAAAGTTCTGGTTCTTCAAAGAAAATCATGGAAAATCACTTTGACAACACACGTTATACGTGGTTTAATCTAACTGTAAAACAGTAAACCCTTTTTGTCACACCTGTATACTTCAAAACATGAAAAGCAAAGAGGGCACAAACACCTAGCGCATTACCCTTGACCAGGGGCGGACTGACCATTTGGAAATTCGAGCACTGCCCAAGGGCCCGGGGTCAGTAGGGGGCCCCATGAGATGCCCCTGGTACCTTTTTCATAGGCTTTTTTGAGTTTGGGCAAGGACACATGGGCCCCATGATCCCCTATTGCCCGGGGGCCCCATGAGTTGTCAGTCCGCCCCTGCCCTTGACCCTTTATTTGGAAGATATAGAAGACAATAGATATACTCACAAGTCTAGTGAGCTAAAGGCACGAAAATGCATAAAGCACACAATGTAAGAGTCCGCTCTCCACCTCCACCTGGAGACAGGATGACAAAGCAGCTGACTTGTTTCAAGCACCCAATCCCTTTCTTCAGAGCTATAGCTCCTGAGGAAGTCATAGCTCTGAGGAAGGGGATTGAGTCCCTGAGATGCATCAACTGCTTTGTCCCCCTGTCTCCAGGTGGAGAAGAGTGGACTTTTATCCTCACTAGACTTGTGAATATATCTATTGTTTTCTAAAGTGCCAAGGTTAATGCACTAGGTGTTTGCGCCTTCTTTGCTTTTCATGTTTTGTACAGCGTTGGATTCCTCCGATCTGAGGAGGGCTGCACCACCACTTTTTTACAGTTCTGGTTGGGTGAAGAACGTGTGACATTTGGTTCATGCTATGTGCCTCTACCAATTTCTGAGCGCTGAAGTGTCAAGTTTGAATTTATTTCCCTATACCTCTATACTTCAGTTTAGGACTGTCTGAGACTATTACCCTGAATACAGGACTCTCATACTTCTGAGCACTGGAGGAATCTCAAATTCATGTTCCCACAATCCCAACTAAAACAGGAATGCACTAGTGGACCCAAGGATTGCATACTACACCTTCACCCCTCAGGAACATAGGCAGGCACCAGCCTGGCAGAGACAAAACCACACTAATACACAAGAGTCCACATCTACATTGGTACCAACCCATTCTACCTTATGCAGCATGTTATGAAACATTTTAAGAAAGAGTAATGTCCAAACCAAGGGTTGTAAAAAAATGTTTTAACAGTTGCGTTTATTGAAATTGTAGAAAAGTATAACAAGGCAAGGTTCATAAGAACAGGCAAACTTAAGGTAGTCAGTATAAATACAATTCACATGGAATTCCAACGCTAAAAATCATACGGAGTCAAATGAAAAAAGGGGGGGGTGAGAAAGGGGAAAAGGAAAGAATAGAGAAACCCCAGATGGGGGGGGGGGAGAAGAGGAGGAAGAAAAGAGAGAGGGGGAGGAGAAGAAAAAGAGGGGCAAAGAAGAAAAGCAAATCATAAACATAAACAATAACCAAGCAAGTAAACAGTACAAATTGGACATACCCGCAAGAGAATATCCAATAAATATACCATAAGGCCTAAGGGTTATAAATTGAGTTACTTTTTACAGTTTTATTCCCCTGGTAACTCTCCAGTTACTCCACTGGACACTCTTCCTCCCTTCCCACCCTCAGTGGGGAATAGTCCCAGTGTTCTTGAAAGGGGAGTCTATAGCCCAACCGTTTCTTTCTGGATTTGAGCAAAGTCACCAAGAGAAATGGAGTGCCTTTTTCCTGTGCAGCTCTCCCCCTGCAACCCAGGTTGTGAACTTTTATTTCACACCTACACACAAAATGGCTGCTGAAGTCTTGGGGGTGATCAGTGTCTAATATGACACAGAAATCCCCAGGATGGTATGCGGAGCCCACATTGGAAGACACATCAGTCATATCCAGGGTTCCCCCTGGTGCAAGCAAGAGGGTGAGATCCACCTTGAAAGGATTCTACAGAGATGAAAGGACATATAAGAACATCTACTGGTACCAATAAGAACTATGCAGCCATTTCAACAAGGCTATAACAATGGTTCCAAACACCCTGTTATCTGTGTATGCCTATGTGTATAAAATCATTTGCATATGTATTCCTTCAATGTGAAACTTCTGCGAAAGTTATGGTGCAACTGTACAGGTCATTAACTAATCCACAGGTGAAACTGTCCCTAGGAAAAAATATAACATGGATGCTCCACAAGGCTTTGCTTTGAAAAGGGAAAAGATGAAAGACATTGCTGCAAAAAACATTACGAACCTATTTGGAGGCACACAGAATCAAAACGTGTTCAGCTTAGCACAAAACACTATACAAGCAAAAAAGTTATTACACAAGTACAATTATTCTCATTTTAAAAAAGTGACAGTTGAGCCAATGAAATTTACAAAAAAATTTAAAATTACAGTCACAATCTTTCTAACTGAATTTAGAAGCCAGCTATTTATATATCCTCCCACCTACCAGTTCCAACTGTTGTTCACCACCTACCAGTCTAATGGAGGATGCACTCTTATTAATCCTACCTACCTCTTTCATCAGGAGCCATGCAGAAGGCATCATGTAAATGTGTCTATTTAGAATACAGAGGAGTGTTGATAGCCTCTCTTACCAGTGACAGCCCATTTAGAGGAGAAGTTTCCCACTTAGTTGTAGCAAAAAAAAAACTGTTCTAAATACCTGGCTGCTATACAGAATCAGGAGTAAAGACAGATTCTCGAAATGTGTAAGTATTTGATTGCCTAGGGACAAATACAACACAATAACTGGGGACCTGCAAAAAAAAAAACAGGCAAAAGGTGGTTTTATGATTTGCATTGGAGATGGGGACAAAAACATTGAGGGGTATTTACTAAGACAGGAGCAGACAGAATCTGGACCAACTGTGCATGTCAACCAATTAGCATCTCTCTTTCATTTTCAAATTATAACTGAACAAGCTGAATTTCAAAGCTGATTGGTTACTATGCACAGCTGCTCTAGATTCTGTCTTCTCTAATTTTAGGTAATTCCCTCTATTATTTTCTATTGCTGCTGCTGAGTCTCATAGCAGCACGTGCAATCCATCTGAATGTGTGTATATATATATATATATATATATATATATATATATATATATATATATATATAGTAAAAAACACAAACGATATGATTGCAAACAAAACAAATGGGCCCTGAATATAATTCCAGGGAAATGGAGCATGTGCAGTAGTAGAAGAAACAGATGCATGTTCAGCACAGATTGCAGAAGCTGCTGATCTATAGGATGGAGGCCAAGGAAAATGTCATGCCAGGCACAGAGAACATTCTCCTATGCACATGTGAAAATAGACCTGTAATGACAGAATCATGTAGGCTGCTACTGACTGCTGTTGAAAATGTTAGTTGCTTAGCTGTCATGCTTCTCCTCTTGCTTTAAAGCCAGCTATACCTGTACATGGATCAAAATTCAGCTAGTTCAGAAGGGACTGGACAAATTTCGATCCATGTATGGAAACTGTGGTTGTACAGAAGTCGATCTATTGATCAACTTCCGTACAACCTCCCTGTTGTATTTCCCTTGCTTGAGCAGTGCTGCAAGCTATACAGGTGAAACTTGAAAAATTAGAATATCGTGCAAAAGTTCATTTATTTCAGTAATGCAACATAAAAGGTGAAACTAATATATGAGATAGACTCATTAAATGCAAAGCAAGATAGTTCAAGTCGTGATTTGTCATCATTGTGATGATTATGGCTTACAGCTCATGAAAACCCCAAATCCACAATCTCAGAAAATTAGAATATTGTGAAAAGGTGCAATATTCTAGGCTCAAAGTGTCCCACTCTAATCAGCTAATTAAGCCATAACACCTGCAAAGGGTTCCTGAGCCTTTCAATGGTCTCTCAGTCTGGTTCAGTAGGAATCACAATCATGGGAAAGACTGCTAACCTGACAGTTGTGCAGAAAACCATCATTGACACCTTCCATAAGGAGGGAAAGCCTCAAAAGGTAATTGCAAAAGAAGTTGGATGTTCCCAAAGTGCTGTATCAAAGCACACTAATAGAAAGTTATGTGGAAGGGAAAAGTGTGGAAGAAAAAGGTGCACAAGCAGCATGGATGACAGCAGTCTGCAGAGGATTGTCAGGAAAAGGCCATTCAAAAGTGTTGGGGACTTTCACAAGGAGTGGACTGAGGCTGGAGTCAGTGCATCAAGAGCCACCACACACAGACGGATCCTGGACATGGGTTTCGAATGTCGTATTCCTCTTGTCAAGCCGCTCCTGAACAACAAACAATGTCAGAAGCGTCTTACCTGGGCTAAAGAAAAACAGACCTGGTCTGTTGCTTAGTGGTCCAAAGTCCTCTTTTCTGATGAGAGCAACTTTTGCATCTCATTTGGAAACCAAGGACCCAGAGTATGGAGGCAGAATGGAGAGGCACACACTGCAAGATGCTTGAAGTCCAGTGTGAAGTTTCCACAGTCTGTGTTGATTTGGGGAGCCATGTCATCTGCTGGTGTTGGTCCACTGTGCTTCATTAAGTCCAGGGTCAACACAGCCATCTACCAGGAGATTGTGGAGCACTTCATGCTTCCTTCCGCAGATGAGCTTTATGGGGATGCTGACTTCATTTTCCAGCAGGACTTGGCACCTGCCCACACTGCCAAAAGCAGCAAAACCTAGTTCAATGACCGTGGGATTACTGTGCTTGATTGGCCAGAAAACTCGCCTGACCTGAACCCCATAGAGAATCTATGGGGCATTGCCAAGAGAAAGATGAGAGACATGAGACTGAACAATGCAGAAGAGCTGAAGGCCGCTATTGAAGCATCCTGGTCTTCCATAATACCTCAGCAGTGCCACAGGCTGATAGCTTCCATGCCACGCCGCATTGAAGCAGTAATTGCTGCAAAAGGGGCCCAATCCAAGTACTGAGTACATATGCATGCTTATACTTTTCAGAGGTCCAATATTGTTCTATGTACAATTTATTGATTGTATGTAATATTCTAATTTTCTGAGATTGTGGCTTTGGGGTTTTCATGAGCTGTAAGCCATAATCATCACAATTATGACAAATCACGGCTTGAACTATCTTGCTTTGCATGTAATGAGTCTATCTCATATATTAGTTTCACCTTTTAAGTTGTATTACTGAAATAAATTAACTTTTGCACGATATTCTAATTTTTTGAGTTTCACCTGTAGACTACAACCTGCTGGTCATCTATGGGCTGACTAAATCACTCACCCAGGACAGGACCCCTGATTTTTCTCAGACTTTCCTTATCTACATGCTTGTGCCAGAACAGTGATTTAAAAAGTGTTAAAGTGGTTGTAAACCTCAAGCATAAAATATGAACAAAGCATACACCTATATAGGGGGTACTTGTCTCTATAAAGAGCACTAAGTGTCATTTCTATCTGCTGTTTCATTTCTCTGCTATAAGCATGAGTCACTTCTGACCAGGTTTCCTGACACAAAGAGAAAAATGGGGACAGGGGAGGGACCTCCAGCAGATTGACAGCTTCAGCTCTGTTCCTGTGTGCTGTGTGGAGGGGGGGAGATGTCCCTTCCCTCCAATCAGCTCTTGGAGCTCTCCTCACCGAGCTCTGTAGACTGTAATTTCAGCTCTCTGCCCCCTTTTTTACAAACTGTTATACAGGCCATACATGGTTCGAATTCCGAACGATTTCTCGTCCGATAATTGGAAACATCATTCGCTCGGTAATTCGATGGTGCCCTCATTGATTTTCGAAAATCAGCCAACCAAGTCATAAAGTTCACCCCATATAACATGCAAAACATCTGTTCCTTCCAAGTCATGGCTCATGCGCATATTCTTTTCGGAAAAACGAACGTACAATTTGACCATCATTTAGTCAAAAATTGGTTGTTTTTCACAAATTTTCCAACATGCCGATCACCAAAAAGGGGAGGAACCACAAAAATCGGCCGGTGCCATTGACCCACCAACAGAGCGAAAATCAGCCCATTATTCTTAGGTCCAATTTGCAGACGAAAAATTGGTCGATTTTTGACCCTGGTATGGCTGGCCTTAGACAAGCTTTATAAATTTGGTACTTTGAATGGCTGGAGAGAAGACTGCAGATGGACAACTACTGGCACTGGTGTGGGCCATGACTGAAAAGTTCGCGGAGTACCTGACCGGTGCAGAGGTGACCGTGATGACAGACAACAACCCGTTAGCACATCTGGAAAATGCCAAACTCGGTGCGCTTGAGCAGAGGCGGTTGGCTCTTCTTTCTAAGTACCAATACCGCATCAAGTTCCGGTCAGGTAGGGAGAACGGCAATTCTGACGCACTCTCCCAAGTCGCTGTAGGGTTGTTGGCTCAGAGTGCCGATGAGGAGCTAGAGGACACTGAAACTCCTGACCTTGGTCAATTACCCATGTTCCAGGACGTGGCACATTCAAGTGGGGTGGCGTCTGGGATGCCAATGGTGCTGGGAAAGACGTTGGCTGATTGGGAGAGGGTCCAGGATAGCTGTCCAGACCTGTGGAAAGTGAAAGAATGGGTCCGGACCAAGATCTGGCCTCGGTCAGAAGAGCGGGCTCGTCTGACTCCCGAGGGTCAAAAGTTGTTGAGGCAGTGGGAAGTTGAAGCTGTTACCCAGGGCCTTCTGTGTTGGACCGAATACTTGCAGTCAGAGTTGCAGTACCGGCGACAGATTGTCATCCCCATGTCATTGGGACCAGAGGCTGCCCGTGAGGCCCATGAGAGGGGTGCCCATTTTGGGAGCGATAAAATGTTCAAGTGACTCCAACGGCTTGTGTACTGTCCCGATTTGGCAGACATGGTGGCCGAGGCATGTCTTAAGTGTCGGCCCTGTTGGCTGAGTAAGAGTACTGAACAGCGGGCTCCTGTCCAGGCCATCCGGACATCAGCACCCCTAGAGCTCCTTATGATCGATTATGTACAGATTGGGTACTTTACCTCGGGACACTCGTACTGTCTAGTCATGACAGATCATTTCACAAAGTATGCTGTGGCTGTACCCACCAGAGACCAGACGGCAGAGTAGGCCGCTTAAGTGGTCTGCAAACACTTTATACAGGTGTTCGGGTGTCCACAGAGAATACATTCGGACCAGGGGGGCATGTTTTCAGGGTACTCTAATGAATGAGTTGTACCAACTGTATGGTATTGAACGTTCCCGCACCACCCTGGGAAACAGGGCGTGCGAGCGGTTCAACCGCACCTTGCTCCAGATGCTGCGGACTCTGGAGGACCACCAAAAAGCTCGGTGGCCGAATACCTACCTGAACTGATGTGGGCCTATAATAACAGGGTACACAGTACCACCGGAATTCTCCCCACATATGCTCATGTTTGGGAGAGCTGGACAGGAGATTGAAGATCTCCACATGCCCGATCCGATGGAACCACCACCAAGAAATACTACCGCATGGGCGCAAGAGCACTGAGAGCAATCCACAAGGTTGTAGGGGAGCATCTTAGAAAAGTGGTATACCCCAATCCAAGACCAGTGCAGAAGGAGGGGTATGCCCCAGGTGATCGAGTGATAGTCAAAGCCAAGCGGTCGTCTGGAAAGTTGGGTGAGCGGTGGGAGGCGGTCCCATACATGGTGAAGAGGAGGGTAGACTCTGCCATCCTGGTCTATGAGGTAGAGCCAATAGAGACTGGGGGGCCCCCACGAAACTTGCACCGTAACATGTTGAGGCATTGTCATTTTGATGAACCAGTGTGCGTGGAGGGGATGGCTCCTCCTGCTCAGAGTACTGAGGTAATCCCCTTAGAGGAGGGGGAGGAATGGTGGGTTGTCCCTGCCCCGGTACCCACAGAGGCTCCAACCATAGCAAGTTCGCCACCAAGGGAAAGTGTTCAGCGGTCGGAAGCTCCTCTCCCATTAAATGTGCCTGACGTCCCCAGTGCTTCTGAGCCTGTCACTCTATGAAGGTCAACAAGGCCCAATGCTGGTGTGCCCCCCCACAGCGTTATGCCCAGAATGAGTTTGTATGGGGAGGAATGCCGAGGACGACAACCTCTAGTGGGGTGACATGTGAGATGGGGAAACAGCTCTCATTGTTTGAACACTGTTTGTGTGGAAGTAAATTAATGTTTTGACTGACATTCTGCGTTTTAGCCACAAGATGTCACTGTTTTTCTAACACAGGCTCAGACTGCATAGATATTTGTATATTCATGAAGAGGTGGGGTTTTGCACTCAGAGTTGGAGTTTAGTGAACAGGAAGAGGAGACTGCAGCCATGTTTTGGACGATGCTAAATGAAGGGGCCATGTGAGCTGAGTGAAGCTGATGAGATTGCTGCCAGGAATGCTGATGAGATTGCTGCCAGGAAGCTGATGAGATTGCTGCCAGGAATGCTGATGAGATTGCTGCCAGGAAGGCTGATGAGATTGCTGCCAGGAAGGCTGATGAGAGCAGAGGAACTGAACAACATATACGCAAGACCGCATGCTTGTTGGAGAGACATTTGTTCTGTTCAGAGTCACCAGCGGATGCAAAGCAGACCCGGGTCGGTAAGATTGTGCACGCACCTCATTTCAGTGTTGGCACCTTGAGACTGAGTCCAGGCCTATAGTTAGTTAGTTAGGGTCTCTGTTTGTGTCAGGCCACAAGTGTTATTACTGATCATTGGAAGGACTCCACAACTCAAAGTGACATTTCACATTGGAAAGCTGATAAAATCCTACAAACTCAAGCCAGACTGGTGTTTTGCTCAGAAGGAATACTCAGGCACATGCTACAGGACCAGTTATGGGAGAGGGAATACTGTAGATTTGTGTAAGATTGTAAGCTGTTGTGCTGCACCGCAGACTAGCCCATACCATACACCCATACACTGATTCCTGCTCTTTTAGGGTAATAACAGGTAAGGTGTGGCAGCTTAGTTGTGCCGCCAGTAGGTAAATTACTACACTTTCTACCTTCATCCATCAGAAGGTGCCGTGCTGTACAGCACAAGGGTCTCAGCCTTTGGGCTGGGTGTATGTAAATTTATTGTATGTTTCCAGCATTTGTGGTTGTGTTTATTTGCCACATCTAAGTAAAATTCTGTTATGGCAAAAGCTGGTGTTGGGGTTGCTTTCCTCGTTCGTGACTTCACTGTATCTTGGGGAGCCCACCCCGGTACATGGCTTACAGCTGCAGCCGAGTTCCACTGTCAGAATACAATAATGCAGCAGGGAGGATTCCTCCATCCTCCTTTTTTGGATGGGGGAATCTGTTTATTTTTTTTTCAGCCCACTGGCCGATGATGTATGATTGGCTTAAGGCCGGTGTTAAAGCTTTGTGAATTGCGCCTAATGCATTTATCTCAGCCCAATGGGCTCTCTGCCAGGGATATGCTGAACACATGGAACCCTCTGTCAAGATAATATATTCTGGCAATATGAAGCATTCTCACATTGTAACAGCTGATGTTTTCTGTTTTCTGACATACAATTATAATTCCATGCAGTTTGTGATAAAGCTGATGTTGCTTAACATCCTACTTGGCAGCAGTTTTTGCAAGGTATTGCAATATACCGATAACCTTTGATTGGCTGTGGATCACATTTTCCTTCCATGCTCTTCCTGCCCTTCCATTGCTTCCTCAAATGCTGTGCCAGGCAATGTGTATTAAAACGATCAGAAAAATAAATTACATGTATGATGCCATCTGTAAATAGCATTAACACAGCAGTTATCTAACTGATATATCACAAAACACTTTCAATTGTATTTTGAATAGACCAAAAAGGAGCAAATAAGAAACGTTCCTTGGTAAGGGTTTACATGCAACCATTAGGTGTGGGGTTAGGATTGATTGTTCAGGCATCAGTATGTTTATCATGGACCAACTGAAGCATATAGATATGCTGGAGAAAATTGAATGGCTGGAGGCATCTCAGAGTTGAGAGATTGCAATTTATAGGAGGAGAACACATTATTATTATTATACAGGATTTATATAGCGCCAACAGTTTGCTCAGAGCTTTACAATATAACGGGAGACAATACAGCAACAATACAGTTCAATACAAGAGGGAAAGGAGGGCCCTGCTCCTTGGAGCTTACACATGCTTTAAGGTAATAAAAGGAAGGCTCACATCATATTTTTTTGTGATTCAGTTTGCATGGGATGACTTCCATCACTGCCTAGTAAAAACAGACAGCTCTATCTGATGTGTTTTTGTACTGATCTTATTACATCAAACAATTACTGTGAAGGAAATAAGTATTTGATCCCCTGCTGATTTTGAATGTTTGCCCACTCTCAAAGAAATGATCAGTCTAGAAATCAAATGGTAGGTGTATTTGTAACACTGAGAGACAGAATAGCAACAAACAATTCAAAAGAAATGCATGTCTAACAAATTATGAACTGATTTGCATGTTCATGAGGGAAATAAGTATTTGATCTCCTATCATTCAACAGAATTTCTGGCTACCAGGTGTCTTTCATACAGGTAACAAGTTGAGATTAGAAGCAGTCTCTTAAAGGGAGTGCTGCTAATCTCATTTTGTTACCTGTATAAAAAACACCTGTCCACAGGAGCAATCAAACAATCAGATTCCAAACTCTCCACTGTGGCAAAGACCAAAGAGCTGTCCAAGGATGTCAGGGACAAGATTGTAGACCTACACAATGCTGGACTGGGCTACCAAACTATCGCCAAGCAGCTTTGTGAGAAGGTGACAACAGTTGGTGCAATCATTCGCAAATGGAAGAAACACAAAACAACTGTCAGTCTCCCTAGGTCTGGTGCACCATGCAAGATCTCTCCTCATGGAGAGTCAATGATCATGAGAACAGTGAGGAATCATCCCAGAACTCCACATGAGGATCTTGTCAATGATCTCCAGGTAGCTGGGACCACAGTCACCAAGAAAACAATTGGTAACACACTACGTTGACAAGGATTGAACTGGGGTTCCTCTGCTCAAGAAAGCACATGTCCTGAAGTTTGCCACTGAACATCTAAATGATGCAGAGGAGGACTGGTTGAAAGTGTTGTGGTCAGATGAGACCAAAATCGAGCTCTTTGGCATCAACTCAACTCGCCGTGTTTGGAGGAAGAGGAATGCTGCCTATGACCACAAGTACACCATCTGTCAGGGATCCTGTCGCCGTGCAGCCGTGCGACGGATCCCCTCGAGCCACAGCGGTGCAAGTGCGCAGGCGTGGGGTGAAAATGGGTCGTGGATGGGTGTTCCAGCATGACAATGACCCAAAACACACGGCCAAGGCAACAAAGGAGTGGCTCAAGAAGAAGCACATTAAGGTCCTGGAGTGGCCTTAATCCAATTGAAAATCTGTGGATGGAGCTGAAAGTTCGAGTTGCCAAACGTCAGCCACCAAACCTTAAAGACTTGGAGAGGGTCTGCCAAGAGGAGTGGGCCAAAATCCCTCCTGAGATGTGTGCAAACCTGGTGGCCAACTACAGGAAACGTCTGACCTCTGTGATTGCCAACAAGGGATTTTCCACCAAGTACCAATTCATGTTTTGTGAAGGGGATCAAATACTGATTTCCCTCATGAAAATGCAAATCAGTGCATCATTTGTTAGACATGCATTTCTTTTGAATTTTTTTGTTGCTATTCTGTCTCAGTGTTACAATACACCTACCATTCAATTTTTAGACTGATCATTTCTTTGTGAGTGGGCAAACATTCAAAATCAGCAGGGGATAAAATATGTATTTCCTTCACTGTATAACACCATATCTAAGTCAATTTGGCACATCAACAAAACTGGCAAATACCTGAATTTCCAGATTGTCTGGAACTAAAGAGATAGAGATGATAGCTTGCCATTTTATAAGATTTAAAAAAGGTGTCATGATAAATGGTACAAATTCAAATTAAAATGATGACAGTGATGCTAAATTATGTAAAAAATAAAAAAGCTTCAGTACAGAATTCTGTGAATGTTCACCTACATTACACAATCAAGTGAAAAATGTTTGCAATGACTGGGTATTCAAAATAATAGAAATAGTTGCTGTTCTCATGGCTGGATAATGGAATTGAACATTCATGCAATTATTTGTGTGAGGATTCTCAATTTATCAACTCTCAATTTGTTTGGAAGTCTGCCTCCTTGAATCCACAGTTACATCAATTTCTTTTGTAATTGTCACTAGTCAAGCTGAAAAAAAGTTCTATTTGCCTATCCTTTACAAATGTATGCCTTTAAAACATATAGAAAAACTAAACAATTCTAGGAAAGATAAGACTACTAAATAAAAGTTTACACAAAAAAAATTATAAGAAAGGAAAGTTTGCCACAAAAAAAAATACAATATAGATCACACTTTTTATATCAAAAGCAATGACAACGTTATGGGCAAATAATTTAGGCAAATAACAGAAAACGGCTCAAATGTTTAACTGGTTAAAAATTGTACTATCCTTAAAATCAAAGGATATTATTTTCTTTGAAACAGGCATCAATAAAATGACAGTGTGCAAATGTGCTTAGCAGAACAGCCAATAAACAGCAGGACACCATGCTAACAAGTAAACCCTATTTTAAAAGGTGACTAAAACCACACTGAGAAGCTGGCCCATGAACACTGTCTCGACAGAGCATAATAATCAATATAGATTTTTCACAGGGCAAGTATTATTTGTTCTAAAACTTGTAACTCAAAATGTTACATCATTCCTGTAGTTTTGTGTGGCACACAACAAGAATCCTGGGGCTACACTGTGCTTTTATGAGAATGTTTTCCATAACTAAAACAATTCTCTGCACAGATTTTAGTTATGAGAAGATCCAAAAAAGAATTTTCAGAGATTCTAAAACATTTATTCTATTCTCAGTATTATTTGTTCTAAAACGTGTAACTCAAAATGTTACATCATTCCTGTAGTTCTGTGCAGCACACAACAAGAATCCTGGAGCTACACTGTGCTTTTATAAGAATGTTCCCCATAACTAAAACAATTCTCTGTACAGTATGAGAAAAACCAAAAACATGTCATTGGAGAAACATGGCCATTGCTAAGCTCTCTTTCTGAAAATATTAGCTGCCTGGTTTTAGTACTTTGCATTACTGACCTGAAGCAAGTATACTGATTAGGTTATGACTTTTGACTTTACTCCAAGAATTCTGACTTTACTCCAACATTCTCGAATGTGTATATTTGCTTTAGTCAGTTACTCAGAAATTATTAATAATATTATTATACAGGATTTATATAGCGCCAACAGTTTGCTCAGCACTTTACAATATAAAGGGAGACAATACAGCAACTATACAGTTCAATACAAGAGGGTTAGGAGGGCACCACTCCTTGGAGCTTACAATCTAAGAGATTCAGTAGTTGTGAACATACAATTTTATGAACACTTTCTAATACAGTTATAACTATGCAGGTGTTAGAAATTCTGTATATAGCCCTACAGAACAGACAGGGTGCCGTCCACATGTGCGTTTCTGCTTCACTGCAACAAGGAAACTTTATTTAGAGAAAAGACAAAGAGTTTACCATATATGCATCTACAAACTTATAAACA